CAGTTTTCACTTCCCCGAATGTCTTGGTGCCCAATTCACGAAGATTTCACGAAAGCGTGTCGACCACAAAGCTTGGTGAATAACACGCTCAGTTAAGTAGCTTATCTCTCTCCCTTTGGAAGTTTCAACATTTAAGGAAATGCTTCTGGAGCACCTTCTCTTCCTTCATTTGGTATGCTTTTGATCGAAATTGCAAATTATATGGTTCTCACATTGCTACGCCTGCTTCCAGGCCTTTAAGTGGGATGTTGAGGGACACAGATCAGTAACACTCGGTTGGTTAGCCTCAACTCCTTTTAGAGACCCGTTTTCGACTTAATAATAATTTTGTTTATAAATAAACGACTCTATATAATGTAGCAGGCGACTGCACGACATAACAAGGTAAGTCGCCGAACAGCGTCCTCCTGTTTGCAGCGGTCCTGCTGCCGGGAGAAGAAATGTGTGATGATGATTGGTCCGCAATAGGTCGTAATCCTGAACTTATGACATGTTTGGATCTCTGTATCCTCTCCCAGATCACAGAGTGGGGTTTAGAAGGTTGTGGTTTTGTTCGTTACTGCGCACTGCTCTAATTCTATCTTCCACATCGTTTGCGAATCGCCAGCAAGCACTACTCTATTGTTGTAAGGAAATGGAGTGAATATGAACCAACAACAAATGTGCTTACAAAGGAATTTCGAAGCGAAGCATGAAATATACTAAACTTCATCCTCGATATCTGATTTCATTTTTTTCTCTTTCCCGTCAGTCAAGTATGAGAGGAAAACGTGGCGGAAACCAAGTAAACTTTGCCAGTTACACCCTTTTATTTTATTCAAAGTCAGGATTACAAGTCAGCTGATGGGGAAACCTGTTACAACAATTGGCAAAAAAGTTATATGGAATTGTTACACTGAATATGGGATCGCTTACTGAGAAGCCCGAAGAGGTTGCAGATAGTACGAAGCATAGGAACAACTACGTCTTACGCTTCCAAGAGACACTCTCGAAAGTAGCAACATCCGATGCCAAACTCTATTGCAACAGAGGAGACATCAAATGAAATGATGTGCCCATAGCAGTGGCAGAGTCTCAAAGAGCTCTGTTTTCGCCTTCACCAGAACCAGCGGAGCAATCATAGACTGTGAAGATAGACATGATCAGTGGGTTGGGCCGTGTACGGCATGCCGGTTGCCTCGGATACGAACAGTTAATAAGTTCTATACGAACGTCACCAAAACCACTACGTCAGTTTCGAAAGGGGACTACTTAATGGTCACGATGGAAGTGAACTGAGGGGTCTATGGAGGTAGGGAAATAGGAGTCGGAAACGAAAAATGACAAAGAGTTTCCACCTAGCTTGTAGATGGTCGTCCCTTGAAGGTGTAAAGGTCCCCAAGAAATCAAGGGTAACTTCAGAAGGCAGAGAATCGCAAGGTGCTGCACCGCGTTAAAGGAAAACCTTACACGAAGCACACTGGCAGTTGCTATCCCAGATGCTCAAGGACCCACTCAGCAGACTTGGGGAAACGGTGTAGAGGTCATCTTACGGTGTGCACGAGTAGTGTGTGGGATACTTGCTGTGGTTTGGAAAAGACATCCTAAGCTGAATGTAGACAGCCCNCCCTATTCAGGTAAAAATGACAGAACAGTGTCCGCTTTTGTATTGGCACCAGAGGAACACAAGATTATCCGAGGAACAGATTATAGAGAGACAGTGCTATTTGACGCTTAACGAGATGGACCACGTGCAGCTCACAGCCCCAGAAAAAGATGGAAAGGCTCTAACAAAAAGGGTCTTTTTGGAGCCACCGCTTAGCAGATGATGCCGTTATTCAAAGAAGTGGTATGGCTGTCTTTGTAGGTCACAGGTTCATCCAAGAGAAAACTCAGAGACCATTTTCAACGTGAACTGTGCCGCTATGCATCTTAATTACAATGGTACTGGATTCGACAAGGTGCCGAACACTAGAACCGGGTAAGATGCCGCCATGCTTTCCACAGGCCGTGGATTTGAGAGGGCACCCTGTTGAATATATTTACTTTAAAACTTTGTGGCTATAGTTTATTGCAGTTAAAGATCTATTGCTATTACAGCACGTGATGGCATCCATATGTTGTTCAGAAAACGAGCCTAATTCTGCTCCTCACGTGTCTGTTGACAAATAATGCAGAGCCGTTCTCAATTTGAGCGCAGGGTTCTGCTATTTTAATCTTTACTGTGCCCCCCCCCTTCTGTTTTTTAAGCAAACCGTCTGCACATCATCGAGGGGTACGAATACCGCCTCTGAGTATGAAAGTGGCTTATACTCCCCCTAGAGCTGCACTGCTTGACTCCACAAGTGTAGGGTAGAATTTTGCTTCTCGAACCCTTGTTTGCGATACGTTATATCGGTTAGTCGTTTTCATTGATGCTTCCATCACATTTTGAATTCGTCGGCACAGTTTCATCTAGCTTGGCTCCTGTTTACTGACTTCCCCGCGATCGCAAGAGTATTTCTAGAATGATATGGAAATTGGACTATTGCAAATGGCCGTAGTTCTCATAATATTCATTGCTTTTGTTTCTCTTCTTTTCAAAGAGCTCTCTTTTTCTCGCTCTCGTTCCAGTCATCAAGAGTTCACTTCAACTTGTTAAATCAGATAGTCAATTCACCACGCACCGTACATCCGCTGTTACCGCTTTACAAGCATTGAAGTTATTTACTCATCGACTTCGAGGTGTTCCTTTCGCAAATCATTGTCTTGCTTTGATCTATTCGCCAGGGTTGTCCCTCACTTTAAATTGCGGTTGTTTCTCGGCAACGACTGTACTGAAATTTGAGGATTTGTGGGTAACTGTCATGTCTATGTGAGACGTTTTTAGCGTTATAACTGACTGAAACGTTATAAACAATTTCTTTTTAATCCTTTTCTTATTACGGAAAACTTTTTTNTTTTTTAACTTTTTCGAGGTCATCAAATTCGCACAGAGCTCTAAAGAAGCAGTTCGAGCCTTTCTTTTGGAAAGAGAACTTTTCTAAGTAAGTCACATCTAAGGTTATGACACGTCGTAAAGTTCACATTCGGTACAGAGCAGGTACGGACGGGGTCATTCTGATGACTATGTGATTCAGGAATTGAACCAATGTTCCCGGAGCTCCGCTGAATACCCTCTATTGTGATATGTGTCGCTTAGATAAATGCTCCGGTGTTTAGAAAATGAAAGCAGACAAGCTCTAAAATTTTTATGAAATTTAATAAAAATCAAGTTACGAAAACTCAAACAAGGGGTTAGGGACAGGGAAGTGCTGATTGGTTGTAGGCAGGGTGTTTAAATATTCCTACTCGACCATCTGGAAATAACTCCAGAAGAATATTAAGATACCGATGGTTGTTTCATCCAATGAACTTTGTAAAGGATTGTTCATGCGATCACAGCGCTGCCATGCTTTCAGTCTCTTTATGGTAAGGATTTCCGGTAGCTGAATGGCCGATTTCAATAGAGCAACGGTTTTTGAATTTGCCCTTTCGTCAGACGTTTGGAGATTGCATATTCCCTCACCACCATTGCGTTCTTTCACTGAAAACGCTGTGGCAGAAAGTTGTCAGCTGTCATCGGCACTTTCAGTCCCCTTATCGACGACCGTATTATTCGAGCAACGTCGATTCTGTTTCTTCTGCTTTACATGCAGCCATATCGTGCTGCAAATCGCCAATACTTATTCATGAGCTTCCTTTTACAATGTTAGTGCAAGGGACTGTTCTCGCTACGAAGTGGTGAGTTTTGATGATCTAATTCGGCGGTGAAATCCTGCTTTTCTGACATCTAAACCTTCCTCCCCGGCTTAGCAGCTTTACATCTAAACCTTCCTCCCCGGCTTAGCAGCTTTTGAGGAAATGTGTTTGGTGAGCAGCTACTCACATTTTTTGTATTCTCCTTTAATTTCGGTTATGTCAGCTGCTTAACTAAGATTAGATTATCAATCCAATCAACCATACTTGCCTCTGCGCATTTTCTCTACTTGAAGCTGGGAAGCCATTCGCACACGTCAATACATTCTTCTTCACCCTTTCAATGTGGGGTCCATGCAATTACGCTGAAAGTGTAGGACTTTTGAATTATCACAAAAAATCACGAATTCGCCGTTCATAATTCGATTCAAGGTGAATTTTCAAGTTCGATGCACCATTCAACTTGATTTTTCAAGCTTTATATGATGGCGCCCAAGACTAGCTATAAGTAAAACCCATATCGTAAAAAACACAACACAAAACACAACCTGAAACCTTGATTATACGACATACTTAGGTCTCCTCAAACCTGCGCCTGTTGCATAACGCTTCACGCCGCTTTGCCCTACAGGTTTATCGAGTAGAAACCGTTTCATTTGATCGAAATTTCGAACGAAGAACATGAAAGCAATTCGGAGCCCCTGATATGTGGCTTACCCGACAAAACGCCTAAACGCGCTCGACGAGTTGCAACTGATCTCGGAAACTTGAATGCCGAAAGATGCACTATTTATGTTCAAAAGATGTTGTTCAAAAGTTGTTCTGTTTTCATTTCTATTTCTGAAACAACTATGAAAGAATTCTCCACAGGTCGTCCATCCTTTTATTGAATTTCGGGCCATTTTCTTCCACCAATCGTAAGACCACGCTGTTCGAGCATGTTTTAGGAATATGTGAAAGTCGAACTGAATGTGTTCGAGAACTCATGATTGGGAACGGCCTAATATATATATGAACCAGACAACACATGCATAGTGTGTGCGTAGCTTTGTTCCTACTGACCCGATTTGTTTTCTCGTTGATCGTTGAACCTATTCATACCCCTTTATTGCGGTCACTTTACCTTTCAACTATCAAGCCCACACAAACCATTCCCTTGCCGAACACTTCTGGATGAAGAATCGAAACAGCCATTCACCTCTTTTCACCCTTAAGCGTGTCGATATGCTGATAAGCATGATAAGAGCTCGGGTTTTACGCGACGGTGCTCTGAATTGGCCAAAATCGACTATTCCTCTCAGTAGATGGCTGGGCATACTTATAAAGCGCCGGATGAAAGGATTGGGGAAGCGATTCGCCTCGACTGCATTTTTCTGGAGGTGAGTTCGATCAGCACTTCTCCACAACTCAATGTCAGTCCTCCACCTTTCGAGTATGTCCACTACTATAGCTCCCCCCTCCCCCTCCACATTAAACATCTCTCTTACTGGCATTTGGGAGGCGTACATCGACACTTCCGAGCCCTCACAAAGGCTCCTCTACCCTATGTATTTCATAGCACTCTAATGCTAGACGTTGTAGGTGTTGTTCTGTTTTTTTTTTGAATACATTCTATCCAGCTGAAAAGGGCTTTAAGTAAAATAATTTTTCAGGAGTTGGGCAGTGGCGGTCCACACGAAAGAGACTGGAAAGGTATTGCAACGGCATTGCTCGTCATCATGATAATCTGCTCACTAATTGCTCTGGCTGTATTGGTACTGACTCCGAGTAAGTGAATGCCTTCATGCATTCAAACTTTTATTGAACCGCCTTACCTGCCAAGAACGCGCCATTGCCACAGTCATTTCTGCAGAACTTCAGCTTCGAGCTAGCTCCGCTCTGGCTAAACTTGCCTTCCATCCGCATAAGAGCGATTAATCGAACAGCACTGATTCCTGAAAACAAAATTGTTTTTCCTGCTAACCATTACCTCGAGCAATTTGTTAAGTAGGCTGTGCGTTCAAGCACAACTACAATTTTAAGTAGAAGTTAAGAGCGTAGACACATTTCGAAGTTAGGTCAATCAACGCCGAAAACGTGATTATATATTAGACTATTATCTTCACATAAATACTACTATAATACTGCTATCTATCTGAGCTTCATTTAGACTTCTTGTTGTTTTGTGTACTTTTCGAAGCTCTTTGCTCTTCACTTTTATTGGTGAGCTTTCGGCATACGATGCCTTCGTCAGACCTTAATTATTTACATTATATTGCTGCATGCGGCGGAGGTGGTGTAGTGGCAAGTGGCCCACTATATCACACGCACGGTCAGGGGTTCAAATCGCGGATCGATGCCCGCCTAGGCCAACCAAGCCTTCCATCCCTCCGGCGTCGGTGAACTGGTACCAGACTTGCCTGGGAGGATAAAAGCACTGACTTGTACATCGGCTGGCCACCGCAAGTCACTGTATAGGCCACATACGCACTCAGTACGTCACCACGATTCTGAATGTTAGTCGAGTGCGGGGCGCATCCTCAGACGGGTTTGATTAACGCCAAAAACTTTATCCTTTGAACTTTAACTTTGTATTGCTGCATACAATCAGCTACTGTCAGTTACAATACAAAACATATCGAATCATACCAAGTCAACCGGAA